CAAGTTTCTTCGCATACTTTTTGAGAGTCTTTCCGCTAACTCGGAGAGAACTGGCTGCGTTCTAGATGAGGCGCTAAAAACGACATCATTGGCAGCGCCAAGGAATTTGAGGTATTTGTCCCAAGGATAGAATTTTCTGAAAGACCTGAACTCGCCCACCAGTTCGCCAGCAGCGGTCATCCAAGTTGCTATCAATGAGTGGTCACCTGCCTGTATTTCCTTCTTCAGGTTACGCACAACTTCGTAGCGCCTGGTGAGTTCATCGGCCCGCGCACGTTCTTCCTGCATGCGCTGATCCGGAGCAATCAGTCTCTTGGGCCGGTATCTTGGCCGAACGATTCTGCTGCTAGCCGGTCCACGCTTGGTCTCCCGCTTGCGTCGAGGTTTGTTGCCATTTCCCAAGGTTGAAGCGCGAACCCCTGGAGCAGACCGATCGAGATTGCCTCCCGGATCTCCCCTGCCATCGCCAAACTGGTCACTATCGTCGCTGATGCCTTGAAGAGCAATGGCTTCAGTGACAAGAATGAGAGCTTCCTCTTCTTCCTTTGCTTTTTCGTAAATCCTGGCCAACTCGATGCGGGCATCAATGTTACTCTCGTCGACCTCAATGGCTACCAGAAAGCAATCTTCAGCCGCAACCAGATCCGATTTTGTCAGGTAGCAGCGCCCAAGATGCAACAGTAAGGTGGCATCTTGACCGTAGATGGAATGCCGAAGAAGTTCGTAGTAGTCGAGCGCCTCGGAATACCGCTGGACGGCAAAGAGCTCGTCCGCAATATCACGAATCAGATAAGGGAAATCTTCAACGGCGGTAGCTGTGGCAGATTCGGTTGGATCTAGCCATTGAAGGTGCCTCTGCCAGCCTGTCAGAAAAGAGACCGCTTTTCGGGGGACAGCAATAACATAGTGGGTAACCTTACGTTCGATTCTTCTTCATCTCGGATCTTCAGTCGGTACAAGGCAAGACGAGCCCTGAACTCCAGAGGCAGCCCTAGGCCATATGCATACGGATTGTATGTAGAAGTTTCGGTTGAAAGCAAGTGAGCACGGCGCGTGTCGTCACGATCCCATTCCCTGTCATCGACGCAATCATTCCACTTGTGATCATCCTGGCGTCCAAGTAGCCAACGCGAAAGTGACTTGAGCTCCGTAATAGCGGTTGTAAAGTCTCCGGCGCAAGCAAAGAGTTCAACGTATATGCTGACGTCATGCCACGAAAGCTCTCTCTCTGCAGCACGATCCGCTGCTCGTGCATGCGCAAAGTATGTTTTGTATGCAGAAACAGCCTTCTGGACATCATCCATACCACCGGAGTCGGCGCAGGCCTCAGCCAACCTCCTAACGACATCTATGTCCAGCGGGCGACGTTCGATGACATGGGAGAATTCGGTAATGGCTTGCGAAAAGAAACCTTGGCGATGGCTTGCTTCAGCTCTACCCAATCTTGCATCGAGATTGGCCGGCTGAGCTTTGATTGCAGATGAATAACACATGAGTGCTGTCTTGAGGGCGCCCTCCTGGCCAGCTTCGGCAAGGTTCATGGCAAATGACGCACAATTCATCCAGGCTGCAAAGTCCTTGGGCCGCAGATGAGCGGCGATGACCATAGCCATCAAGGCTTTATCGTTGAGGCCCTCCTCTCTGAATATGGAGGCCAAGACGGTCCAGGCTTGGTGGGTTTCGGCATTGATTCTGATGATCTCAAAGACGAGGTTCTGAGCACGGGCATAATCGCCGCTCATGAAAGCCTGGTTGACTCCTGCGAGACGAAGCTTGATATCGCCTCGAGGCTCAGCAGCCTTTCTGGGTCCACGAACGCCACCTCGCGTTGTGTTCTTGCTCTTTGGGACTGGAGGAGGCCTTCCGATGTCGCCTTCACCATCATCACCGCCGCATCCTGTTCCACCACCGTGATGAGAAGAGAGGAATTCTCGGACAGACTGATCAAACTTTGCGATATCTCCTCGAAGTTCCATCTCATCCGAATCGGCATCGGAGACAATGTCTTCATCGTTATTGCCATCGAGTCCACTTTCATTGCCGAAGGTTGCGACATCTGCCTCTTGTAGAACTGGGTCCATAATGGCGAGTAAAAGTCAGGAAATCCAATAGACTTTCGTTGATCCAGCGAAGTTGAGCGTCTCGGCGACAGTATTGGATTTGGGTAGGGGTTTTAACGATGGTGGTCAGACCGAGCGGTACCTTTAGCTTGGAGCTGATGGAGTACTTGGTGCTTGGCAGACCGTAACAGGATAAAAAAAACCCTCCCCCCTAAAAAACCTAAGTCACCTTGACCGTGGTTCGCTGCCTTTGACCGAGTAAATTTTTCATCTACGGCGACAAAACCCGTGACGTGAGGTTTTACTCTGCCATTGACAGTGTATCGTAGTTTGGAGAAATGGACCGGCTGTCGATCCAGAGACGGCGTTTGATTCTGGTGGTGGTGGTGGTGACTGCAGACGGAAAAGAAACAATTGCATTGTCTAACAGCCAGAGTATCTCTCTTGATGAAGCCAGTAAGAGAAAGACGTGGGGGCTCTTAGTTACCCTTCGTGAAACTCATACGATACTAGTAAGGTAGGTAGGTAATGTGCTATTGACGAAGTAGGTAGGATGGGCCAAGAAGGTACGAAGACACTGAGGAAGGTACCTGCCTCACACCAACTTTAATATTCCCCACATGGCTGCAATTCTCGGTCTGCATTCGGTATGTACTGATGGGCAGCCAATCATACCTAAGCTGTTCATAGCTACAGGTAATTACCTGTAGCGAGCTAAGCCATGACCCCAAAAGCACGTGGCGGATAACATCCATGATTTCGCATTGAGACCACCTTGACTTTACTACCTGAACAACTACAAGAAGAGTCCGGGGCAACTTGGCAGCCTGTGCACCTCCAACTTTCCTACCACCAGCATTTTGACTGCCGCTGTTGACTTTACAGCTCAGACTGTGCCTTATCATCTCCAAGCTGGTTGCCTCTACAAATGTGTAAGCAATTGCCTCCGACCCGCGGATTGTACGATGCAAAACAATGTTCAAGGCCTCACGGGTAATTATCAGCGGCTGATGGCATAGTGAAAGTGAAGCCCTTCCCTTGCACGCAGCCGGAATTGGAGTAATATCTTCCTATGTATGTACAGAAACACAAAACGAGCTCAACCAGGCACTCGGAACCCCCTCCCGATCCCCTTTGCTGCCTCACGAGTACACGCATCTGCAGGTTTCAAACGTCTCTTCACTGGGTTGTCGTCTATCCAACAACACCAGTAGCCGCCCCAGGAACATGTTTCCCCCATAACTGTCAGGATACATATCAAACGCCCAGTACCCTTGGCTTCAACTTACGCAGCCAGTCTTAGGCGATTTTGCCTTCGGCTTTGGCATCTGTTCATAAAGTCCTCATTAGCTCCGGTGATCTACGTAGCTCGCTCGGCTCGGTACCTACCCTTGACTTGCTCAAAAACCTTGAGCATCTTCCGCCTAGCTCCGAGGGCGTTGACTCCACGGTCCTCCAGGGCCTTGTCGTCAAGCTCGATCAACTCATGCCACTTCATGTCTTTGAGGTTGTCCGTATACTTGTGTAGCCGCAAGCTTCTGAGCCAGGATGGGATATCTTGCAATAAGGTTGGATCCGTCGGGTCTTCCGGCGGCTTCGAGCTGCCTCTCCGTCCACGAGGAGACCGACCGCGGACCATATCGGAGTGGTCTGACAGATAACCTTCATGGTTGCCTACGCCTAACTGGCCAACATTCACCGAAGGCATGCCGTTGTTGAGTAGGGGAGAAGCCCCGTCATAAGCACTTAGGAAACCGTTGTTTTGGGGAGAAGCAAAGGCCATAGGCCCAAAACCGCCCGGTTGCATCGCAATGCCGGGAGAGTTGGGCCGAGATCGATGCTGACCAAAGCCAATGTTCTGGGCTTGCAGGGCAAGCATCTGCTCGCGGCTGAGAACCTGCCCATGCTCATTGATCATTACAACATTGGCACCGGGAACATTGACACCCTGGGCACCTTGTGGCATTCCTTGCTGGCCAGGAGCACCCGGAGCATCGTTGGACCGGGCACGACGGTACTTGCGGACATCATCGAGGGCGAAGCGGTTGTTGACAGTTGAAAGTGCCGCTAACTTCATCGCCGTAGCGTTTGCAACCATGTCTGCCTGCGTGCCGCTGTTGGCATTGAAGTTTGCCACGAGTGGAGTGTTGACCATCGACGCCCAGTTGCCACCACTAGGATTGTAAGGAGACAGTAGTGGCATATCTCCGGGCTTGTCGCTGGCTGTCAAGGTGGTGTTCTGGATGTTCTGGCTGCCCGAGATCTGCGGGCGAGGGGATCGCAAACCACCCGACGGAGGCGGTTGGACAAACTGACCCATTGGGGGCTGGCCAGCATGGGGTTTAGATACTTGACCAGACTGATCACCGCCAGTCCAATGAGAGGCCTGGTTCTGACCATTTGAATCGTGGTTGTCGCCAGGGGTAGCAATTGTCGGGGCATTCAGGGACTGACGAGCATCGCCTATAGCGCTATTACGGTTAGACGAGGGAGGGTTGCCCGTCTGTTGCGTGAACTTGGCTTTCTCGGTCGCGATAGCTGCAGCGGCATCCGGAAACATAGCATTGATGGTAGACGGATCAAGGCCCGACTGTCGCTTACCGGTCGCGGTGCTCGAGGGGCGAGCAAGAGAGTTTCGCGATGAGTCAACGTTCAACTTGTTCATGGCATCGCTGAGGCGGTTCGACATGGGGTCTAGAAGTAACAGATTAGCGTTGGGCTGTCAGAGAAGGTAGGTAGCATAGACTATACTTACCTTTGTCGAAGTTGGCTGGGGACAGAACGCCGGACATTGGGTGATTCTTGCCCATCTGCTGCAAGACCTGAATGAAGAAGCGAATCTGGACCTGGGTTGTCTGCTGCAACAAGGCGTAAAGAGCGGCAGTGCGCTCAGCCTCGCTAAGAACTCTGAACCACTGCTCAATAGCACTCAGCTCATCTTTGAAGTCCTGGTCTAGAGTAGCTGCAGCCATCTCTTCCAAAGTCGTCTCATACTGATCGATGTCGGCAATCCACTGCTGCGCGATCTTGTCTTGGGGATCCGTATCGGGATTGCCATGGCCCTGGCCCTGTTGAGAACCGTAAAAGTCGGACGACGGGCGGATACGGCTCGAGGGAGATGAGTTGGAGAGTGCGGCCATGTCGGCGGAAGCCCTCAAGTGACTGTTGGCCCCGACAGCTCTCGAGGAAGGGGGGCGGAGCGTAGGCGTCGTGTTCGCCTCCGGGGTACTATTGCGGTTTCCCGCAATGTGACTGCCAGACATATTGAGCATTGTCGATAGGCAGCGCAAGTACGACGAGGCAGGAGTCGTGCTGGAAGCGGTGGCAAGGTTGCTATCGAAAAGTGCGGTGGAGAGTCGGCAGATGGCAGATGAAACGATACCAGTGGCCAGTGAAGGGTGTCGTGTCTTTGTCTGGCGATGGAAGGGGGGTCGGCCCGGACAAGGAGGGGCCGGCGCTGTTTCGAGATTTCGAATGACGGCAAGGTCAATCGAATCAGTGGGCAAACGAGTCCAGTGAAGACTCGCTGAGCGAGGACTGCGGTGTAGCTGTGGCAGATGTAGGCTCGGCGCAATCGCAGTTTGGCAATAAGGGACGCTGCTTGAGAGCAAAAAGCGGTTCTCCCTCTCTTCTCAGGTCGCGTTGTGCGTTCAGGTTAGACGGTAAAACTAGGACGGCCTGTCCTTTTTTACCCTTTCTTTTCCTCTTCTCCTTGCTGCGACGGGAAAGCTCCGACGGCGCAAATAGATGATCGAAGGGTACGTTTTCGGTGACCCAAAGCTCCTGCAGAAACCTGCTGACCTCAAAGGAGTCGGGATCAAATGAGGGACCTGCTTAACACATATCTTTTTGGCACAGCAGCTAGGTCTGGTTCAACGAGGTCCCAAGATAGTAATGTCTCGGGGTCGCAGGAGATGGTTGGACGAGAGGTGAAGAGACAGTCTTGAGATAGGGGAGGAGAAAGTGTAATTCTGAACGTGCTTTGCGGTATCCAGCAACGAGTCCAGGCTGACTGGGGAAACCAGTGGAGGTGAGGGGCAAGTGAACAAATGTAGGATGCTCTGGCAAGCGGGCAGGAATTATTCAAGAAATGCTGCTTCCAGGCAGGTAATACAATGTTCAAGGCTGGCGTCGTCTGAAGAGTATTACCCAAGTAAAGGGGTGTGTGGCAAGGTAGGGGAGAGGGGGAAGGCGAGGGGGGGAAAAAGAAGACGAAATTCCCTTCTCTGCTTTGAAGAGACGTACTCTTGTTCATGTAACAGCTGCCAACGAAGGGGAACGAAAGGAGGGTTCAGCAACGTGGCGCGAACAGCTTAGTCACAAGGGTCTCCAAGACGAGGCCTGGGGTCCGCTAAGTAAACAGTGGGCGGGGGGGAGGCCTTAAAGGGAGTGGTCCACGGCGTCTATTTCCCCCAACCTACCTTACCTTGCCTGTAGCTTCGGACGGAGAGGCTCGCCAGGTACCTGAACCAGGCGTGGGGGGAGGCACTCGGTTCCAATACACAGTATGAATACGGTAATTGAGTCCTCAGGTGGATGTACTGTACCTGCTAGCAGTCTAAATTGAAAAGAGGTGACTGACAAGGGAAATGGAAATGTATGAAAAGTAGGTGACGGTCGGGAAGAGAAAGGTCGATTCCAAGGCCCCACTTCTGCCACCAGGGTTGCATTGGACATTATAGATAGTATCTCATCACAACGGAGACTCAACTCCTTTAATCTGCTTGGAGTTTTGCTTTTTGTGTTTGCATTTCTTCGCGTCTAAAGCTGTTCATGACATCGTGTGCGGACACATGATTACCCACGGATAAGGAAGTCAGCCAGGCAGATATGCTTATGGCAGCCGTTGTCAGTAACACAAGGAACCATACAATCATCATTCGCACTGAGGCATAACAGATTTGTGGCAGACTTGTGTTGAGCGTATAGACCTTAACATGACATGTAAACGTGTTAAGCTGCAACGTAACTACGACTGCTCAACGATGCTCATACTCTCCCAGCATCCGTACTTATTTCGTCACTGTTGCACCCTTCATTTCATATGATACCAAGAGTTGGGAATCTGAGTCAAGCGCTTTCATCCTGTCCGGGACATTGAAGCCCTCGAGGCAGAATGAGATTTCAAAGCCAATCATTGACCGCAAGGGAGCAGTGATAACAAGAGATATCCCTTTGAACACGTATAGAGGAACTCAGAGGTTCGAATCGCGGTTGATTGATTCGTGCTGGCGTGTCTCATATGCCAGTTTCATTTGATTCCCTAATGCCCCAATGCGTTGTAGCCGCGCTGTATAAGAGACCAATAACTGCAAGCACACCTCTTCGTCTATGCCGTCTCGCGCTTGCCCTCCTTCAACTCTTTCTGTAGACCATATCAGTAGCTGTCGTAGACGAAACCGTGACGATTGGAATTGTTTCACGACAGGAAGGGATCGTACCAGAGCCTTCATGGTACCGTGAAGCGCGTGGCGATGGTTACGGCGGAACTTGGGATCAGTACCCTTCAGCGACGGGTATCTCGAGGTCTTGGGCTTCTTGATACTGCATACGGAAAAAAGTTGCAATGTCAGCATTCAAATATTTTTCTTCTACTTCTTCTCTTCTCTTCTCTTTGGTTGCCGAGATGGGAATGGGACTGGTTCGCCTGAGGCCACAGAGTTGGAAGGTTCAATCGTACCCGTTACGGTGCGCCTTGCGCGACTGGTTGTGCTGCGAGGAGTTCTTGGACTCTGTCGGTCGAAATCAGTCAGGCTGTTTGGGTAGTAGATAGACAGAATTAGGAGAAAAGATCGTAAACATACTGGCCATTGCTGCGGTCGGAAGGTGCCCCTAACTTTGGATACTAAAGTCTGAAGTTCGTGGTGAGTCGGGGGATTTCGAGTAAGTCAGGATATCGAGTCTCTTTGCCGTGGGTGCGCGTGGGCAGGGACGAACGTTGTGGTGGGGAATCGAAATTTGCGTGCCCTAACTGACGGTCTGTCTTGGCTGCCGAGCGCCACACTGTGGCTGGTGGACACCATGATGTCCCTTTCAAGTGACTAGTGTAAGATACCTGCAGCATGATGACTAACACACCCAGGTACCTACCTGCATGGCGAATTGGTCATGTTCACATAGAACTTTGCTAGCAGAAAGGAAGCAATAGGTAGTTTATCAAATACAAAAGCTCGGAACATAGGCAATGCATTTTGCTTCCGGATAGCGTAGCGGTTAGACACCTATCTCCTCGTCTGTATTGCAGTGACTTGACTCCTTTCCCCTTAGCCTCTAAGCTTGCTTCGCTCATCATCAATCTGACCTAACCCGCATGCGACCGATTCTATCCAGGTCCGTCGGATATTGTTCAGCTTTGCCGTGTATGATGCCATAAATCACATTGCCCTGCCTCTCGGTGCCCTGGCTATGCAATACTCTTCACCTGTCAAATGCGGCTTGAGGTCCTCCTCGCCCCTCAAAGAGGCTTGGCCGAGGATATGCTGCGAACCGCCGCGGTGCTCTGGACAATGCCTTGCAACTGCTTCGTACGAAGGGTCCTGAGATAGCGGAGAAAAAGAACAAATAACAGCTCCATGCTGCAGTTATGAAGTCAGTATCTGTCGCATCATCCCCTAACAGGGGTAGTTCGGAGCTACACTTACCGCTCTTTAGTCATCATGAGAATGCCTTGAACGAGAAGGCCCTTGAGAATCTGGGGTCCAATACCCTTGAAGAGACCCAAGACCCCCTCGCGCTCCATGATGAAGTTCATGACCTCAACGAAGCTGCTGAATGGCTTGCCTTTTCTCTCTGGCGGAGGCCGGGACTGCAGGCCTACCTTAGCTACGATGAGGGGCTGAGTGACAATGGTTGCCAACGATTTGGAGGCAGCGCCGAGGACTACATCAGTGTCAGCAAAAACCAAGTACGAGAGCCGTGCATGTCCGTGCATATAGTGTAAATATGGACGAGAGGGGGCAACATACGGAAAGCCTCCCACGGCTTGAGACTGTTCTTTCCAGGGAACAAGTTTTCTTTGAGTCTCTCGTACGCGCCATAGGTGATGGCGGGATTGACGACCAGTACCAAGCTCGCCTTCAAGCCCCTCCACAGGCCAAAAGGACCGTCCTCTCCGTCTATCACTTCTCGGGCAGTATCGACAAACCCTTTCCTCTCCGTCTTTCGCTGGGTTTGTTGTCTGGTCGTAATGACAGCGACAGGAATCGTGCAGAGCTGGGCGATAGCACCTGCAACGGCACCAAGACTCAACTCAACCACTGTCGAAGGTGGCGTAGAGGTCTTGGCCGAGCGCAGGTAAAGGGCACGAACGACAGAGTACCAGTAAAAGTAGGCAAAGTTGGTTGAAGCAACGCCGAGGAGAGAGCCGCTCATGCCGGCATACAGACCTTTGAGGCCGTCATCGGCAACGATCTTGCTCAAGGCATCCCAAGTAGACGAGTAGTGAGACTCAACGAGGTCGGCCGGTTCAGTCGTTGGTGCGGTGGACGGGGGTTTGACTTGAACCTGGAGACGCGTCTTGACGCTTTTCAAAAGATTTGTTAGCTAGATTCAATCATGAAAAGCTAGGTTGTGCCGGACAGGCATCAGTCGGATTATGCTAGATTAAAAGGGGGTAGAATGTAGGCGTGACATCATGGCAGTCGCAATGCTCACATGTCAAGAGGGTACACCAAGGCGTTAGCAAGTACAGCGCCGGATGCGCCAGCAACGGCCTTTCCCCATGGCGAGATGGGTGCTGATTTGGACTGCGCAGCCATCGTAAGAATCCTCAACTCGATGCTGAATAGAACTGGCCGGATTTCTTGCCAATCCAACAACTGGACAGGTTGTAACCAAGGGGGAGGGGTCGCCAATTCCTCGTCGGTAGCAGCGTCGGCGTCGGCGTTCAGCACTGATCGAGATCCGAGGTAGAGAGCGGTAGCGGGGCGAGCAAGGGGACCTTGGATTCTAACGATGACGGGAAGCAATCTGACGAGGCAATCGGAACACTGAGTACGCGAGTTAATCAGCAATATGGAAGTCGCCGACAGTAGGAAGAAGTCAAATCTCTTGAAATGCGCTGGACGAGACGAAGGGTCCAAACTTTAAGCGCTTTCGTTGACGGGCTCTCCCCCATGACCATGACGAGCTGCCGCCGACGCGACACTGGCACTTGCGCAGTTGCGCTGGCGCTCGAATCGACGACCTCGGCCTTTGCGACCACCTGGGACCGCCATAGGAGCGCTCGGCTAATCGGTGAGGTCACCTAGTGGGGGGGTTCGGCAGAAAGAATGCTTATCTAAGTATATAAGGTCTGAGAGGGTCCGTCTCCAAACCAGTAACTGCTTAGATAAGTCGCTTATGGTTTCATGCGCAATCCAGCGAGTGTGCACACACCAAGTAATGTACCTATGTCCGAGTACATCCTCCGAGCCGAAATCATCAGGAGGGACAGACAGCCCAATTGTTGTCCTTCCAGGGATGTTGGTTTGCTCGGCACGGATTGCATAATCATTTCGACAAAGTAGACCGAGGAGTGGTCACATCCAATATATCTATTGCCGTCCAGTGTCTATTAGGTTGTCTCGACAAGCTGAATGTGCTAGTGAGGGCCGCCTGGCTAACATGGGGCTGGCGGGGTTGGACCAATCTACATTCTCAAGGCAAAACTGGTAAGCATGGTCAACTGGCTACGGTACGCCGGGCAAGTCATGGAAGGAGTTGTTGTCAGACCTGCACCTAGATGACACTGATACTGTGGCCCCGTCTGTTTCAATATTCCCAACTCATCCATGTCTAGGCTTTTACTGCGAAATGCCATTGCTCATCTCGCCCTCTTCGCCTCCCTGGATACTTGCACTTTGTTCCACCTTCAGACTATGGTCCTTGAGGTATCATCTGTTTCCACCCGCCCAGTGCGTTCTGAGGTAACATCAAAAGAACGGTGCCTGTTATAGGACAGAACACAGTACTACGGATAATTACATGCAAGCCTGAAAAGTCAAACGATTAAGCCTTGGGTTACGTTGTGTCGCCTGAAGAGCAACAATTAGTACCCAGGTAGTAGTCACTAGCTGGATACCTGGGAACGTTAGAACGCGTGGAGGGGCACTTGCACGAGGTGCCTTGGATCAACTCTTTATTCTTGAAATAGGCACCAAGCCAAGTGGCCGGTTTCATTGCTCCGAATTAACGGCTGCACACATGTCTTTTCTCCGCCAACACGACAGCAACCAAGCCAACTTAACCCCTCTCCCCGGAAGCCCAAAAAGGCCGAAGTCGCTAACTCGCCTTCTGATTTGTCGTCGCATTCCGCTCGCCCTCTTTCATCCCCATCATCTCAAATTGACGGCTTTGCTTGGCCACGGCATACAGCCCGACCCGGTCCGGCTTGGGATTGCCTCCATCCATCGTTTGTCTTTCGGTCTGATTTGACCCGTTGCCGTCGTTCGTTAAGCCTCGACAGTTCCAACTCTGCTGCTATAAGCCGATCTGCTTTTGCACAGCCCCAATCGAGCGCCCGCTCCGTTCCGTCTCGTCCCACCACAGTCCAATTCGTCACTCCTCTCACTAATCCATCGACCCCTCCCCCGCGAGCAGATCCGCCGCTGCCCCCACGAAACTGAGCTCAATATCAGAGCTACAGAGCCACAACCCAGGCCTCGGCGTAAGCTGACTCCTGTGTTGTATAGGTAGAGAGTCAGAAGACACAGAGAATCGTCCCAGGAGGCTCAGATAGTAGCGACAAAGTCCTTTCTCTCCTCTTCAACTCAGCCCCACCTCTCAACGCCCAGCGGATTATCTCTAGCACTCATAACACCAGGTCTTGGCTCTCATGATAAAGGACTTCGGTGACCTGTTGATACTGTCGACGTTGGCCCACCAATGCTCGATTGCCTAGCCTGTTTGAAACAACACGTTTTGACACTGGCGCAACCTGCATCGCCGTATCCATTCTACTTCACTCGCTGGATCCTATTCCGGCAATGCTGCTGGTGGGAACGATGGAAGCTAAAGCTATCGTAAGTGAGAATCTGACGAAGATGGAACCTATGTTGCAAGCTATATTTGACTGACAACTGTTCTAATATGCAGAGAGAAGAGGCCCTGATGGTCAGATCCTCGGGTCACGAGGCTTTGAATCATGCGATTGCCGCTGCCGACTTGTACATGAAGGCTGCCAAAGAAGCCACTTCATCCGCCGACCGCGTCCGTTTTAGAAAAAAGTGCGAGGGACTCATTACTCGTGCTGAGCAACTAAAGTTCTCGTCCAGAAATGCTCCTGCAACCACAACCAAAGCAATGGCTGTCATCACCTCGACATCGAACCCCGATTGTCAGGTGCGCCAGATACCTTCCGGTGAGAGGGCCATTCTACTGCGCTCCTCTCGCTTGCACGGCAATATCTTCCCGCCCTGGCAGTCTGACCCTGTTGACAGCACTTTCTCCCTGCCTGAAGGAAAACATGTCTTCTCGTACGTCAGACCACTCACATTTCCTGCTCGCGCAAAGCTGCATCGACGAGGAAACTCACTCTCGTGAACCAGTGACCCGGCAAAATACACAATGTCTCCCAGGCAAGAGTCTATCCTTGAAGGCTGGAAACGTCCCGTGGAGCATGCCAGAGAAGAAACCGTAGACAGGGATTTCATGGCCTCGGAAAGTGATTGTGACCTTGTCCAAGATGTCACGACAGATTGCTCAGTTGTAGCCAGTCTGTGTGCTGCCATGAAGATTCTCCAAGGTGATGGACGGTCGGTCAGTTTGCAACCGTGATGGGATCCTGGCAGCGGGCTATCGCTAACTATCTTGGCCAGATCCTCAGTTCTATCATGTTTCCATATGACCATGGTAAAGGGCGACCCAAAATATCTCAAAATGGCAAGTACATGTTCCGCATGCACTTTAACGGTTGTTTTCGCCAGGTCGTTGTGGATGACCGGCTACCTGTCTCTCGGAATAACCGCGCCTTGTTTGTTGTTGATCGCAAGAATCCCAATTTGCTCTGGCCCGCCCTCTTGGAAAAAGCTTATCTCAAGGTCCGTGGAGGCTATGATTTCCCTGGCAGCAACTCGGGCACAGATCTATGGGTTATCACCGGGTGGATACCTGAACAATTGTTTCTTCAAAGGTGCGTACAATCCCGCTCAGCGGCGATCGACTGAGTATAACTAATGGTAAGCCACAGCGAGGACGTTGACCTTGAAGGCACATGGGACAGCATCAGGGAGGCGTATCATGCTGGCAACCTTATCATCACATTGGGCACTGGGCGGCTGACCCAATCGGAAGAAGATGCCCTAGGTCTTGTTGGTGAGCACGATTATGCAGTACTGGAGATTGATTCCGCACCTGGAGCCCGCCGGCTTCTTGTGAAGAACCCGTGGTGTGATGGTCTTGTCTGGAAGGGCGTCGGGTCGTCCGGAATTGTCGAAAAATCGGCGGCCTTGTCACTGGTGAACACATCTGTGTCTGTCGAGCCAGCGTCGTTGGTGCATTCGAGGCCAGTTGGCTCTTTCTGGATTTCGGTCGAGGATGTTGCCCAAAACTTTGAGTCCATGTACCTCAACTGGAATCCGGACATGTTCACACACCGGCAGGATCATCACTTTACGTGGCGCGTGCCGACCAAGAATATGACGTCCTCCCTCGCACACAACCCGCAATACTCAGTACTCTCACGTAGCGGAGAGACAGTATGGATCCTGCTGAGCCGACACTTTGCAGATGAAGAACTCGACATCGCACGTAGCAAGTCGGCTTCTTTAGCGGCGGTATCAAGGCAGCTAGGCTTCACGAGCATCTTCATCTTTGAGAGCGAAGGTAAAAAGGTTCAAGTGAGAGAGGGCTTCGTGTACCAGGGTCCCTATGTGGACTCGCCGCAGACACTGGCCAAGTTTAAGCTTCGCGCCGGCAAGCCCTATACTATTGTCATGGCCCACCAGGACCTGCCGCTAGACGCCTACTCGTGCACGTTTACTCTCTTCTCGCGGGCGGCCCTCGAGGTTAGGCCTGCCGAGGAAGAGATGATGCACTACAAAGAGTTTTCGAGTGCTTGGACGAGGAGGACTGCGGGAGGCAACGCCTCGTTCATCACGTACTCACAAAACCCCCAGTTCAGCATACTAATTCCGAGAGCCACGCCGCTTTCCATTCTCCTTTCGTCAGGGGATCGGGAGGTGGCCATTCACGTCGATCTGGTGTGGGCTCACGGCAAGAGAGTCACATCGATCGGTGTCAAGGATGTTGTGTCCAGTTCTGGCGACTATCGGAGAGGTAACGCTCTCGTGCAGGTTCCCTTGGTGGAGCCTGGCACTTATACCATCGTCTGCTCAACGTGGGAGCCAGGACAGCTTGCCGACTTTGGTATGCGCGTAGGCTCTCAGGTGGAATGCGAGATAAAGCCTGTTCTGAGCGACGGTGCTGGCCTGTTGCGGACCCGCACACCGGCCATTGCCTTCAGTGAGGGAGAAGAAAAGAGACGAGCGCCTGTCACGGTGACAAGACTCTCTCGGGCCCAAGTTGTTGCACGTTGCCCTCTCTTAACTGCACGGAACGGTCAACATATCCCAACGACAGCCGTCCGCATCTCTCTCGTATACGGAAGGGGACCCGAGGAATCGGTGCTTGCCATTTCGGGCGGTGGCGAGTTCCGGGAGCTTACAATGGCAGTCCGAACACCTGAGTTCGACCTCGAGCCTGACCGTCTGCAACAAGAACAATTGTGGCTTGTCGTGGAACAGCTCGGAAGCCAGCAAGGCTGCCAAGGCATCGAAGTGGAGTTTCTCAGCGACAATGCGGTCCACGTCGGTGACTGGCAAATCGTCGATGGTTAGGCCTCTTGTAGCACAGCGAAGGAAAAGAAAGACTCATGCTGGCACAAGACAGAAAGGATGTTCAAGCATCTGGCTCAGCTCGGTGATGTAGATTGTCAAAGATCGGCCACACTTCGGATAGATGCACCCCCCCCAAAAGCCTATGACCCGAGAAAGAGAGCCGCCCTCATCCAGCTGAGATGAATGTAGCCTATACTAGACTCGAACCGCTGTCGCAGTTGTGAGGGGAAGGCAAAAAAGATAGAATAAAAGGCAGAACGTGACGTCACACAAACGACTCGTCAATGTGGTATATAATCCACCGTAACGCCGTAATCTCGCAATCGAGACAGAAAGAGCTCCATCATGAAATCGTGCCGTGCCAATTCAAAGGGCCCTGGGGGCGTATGTCAAAAACAAAGGATTGCCACCACCTACCGCAAGGGAAAAGTAACCCAAAACTCAACCAAGAAAAAGCAGCAGCATGTAAACCGCAGGTATCGTTCCAAAGCTTCCAAACCCCTTCCCTTATTTACACTAAACCTTGTCCTGGAGCCTGTTTCAGCCATACCAACCCAAAGTTATTGATTTTGATAGAGTGTTGATGGTGGAGTGCATAGCCCAAAAAGAAGTCGAAGAAGCGCAGTACGGAAAAGAGAAAAAGAAAAGAAAAAGGGTATATACGTGTAGATCATGAAAACATGCCGAGTTTCATGTCAGGCAGGGCCTCCTCGGCGCCGCCTACCTCGATTCGGTCCATCTGGTCTCTGTGACAGGACATCCCGCAAAAGCGGGTCGTCCTTATCCTTGTCCACATGATGTACACGAACATGTCTGTGTACTTGATTAGCCAAGCCCTCCATATCTTGTTGACTCAAAAAATGGGACTAGAATGGCAACAAAGCAGTAGCGACCCTTTCTTGCGTAAGATAATAGAAAGGTTTGCTTCGGTGCGATGAGGCCAAGCGGCTGGGAATAATCTCACCTCTGAAGGTTGTCTGGCCGAGGATATTTGTGTTCTCGGTCCGGGCAAAAAGGACAAACGTATCCAGGAGAATCATGAACAAGACCGTGTCTTATCATTTCGTTCTTTCTCTTGAAGCCCTTGCCGCCTTCGCTTCGAGGACAACCCTTGACTGAGCAGTAGTGAGGCCGCGCTGATGAGTGCACGTTGGCGTGCGAATTAAGCAGATACTGAGTCTGAAAAGGCGCAGCATTGCACCCTGAGAACGTGCAGACGTAGCCAGCTTGAGGATTTGTAAGACCATCGATGCTCATGCGTTCTGCTACGGAGTGGGCGGGTGTTGAAACGGTTTGGTCCGTGCTCGGGGTCTCTGCTGTCCCGCTACTGTAGTCGGCACTCGGGCGGTGACGACCACCGCTTGAGGAAGACGAATAGTAATACGGGCTGAGAGAAGGTATGCTATGTGCGGGTGATGGGAGCTCTCTTCGAAAGCCTTCATTGGGGGAGATAGGTGGTGAAGCCTGACTGACTGGAAGCCCGGCTAACAATGGCAATCGAGGAACATTGGCCGGAGGCGACCGTGGAAATGAAGCCGCGTGTCGTACGGGTCCTAGCTCGTTCTCCGGGCTCATGGCAGTCTCTGCTAAGCGCTTGAAATCCTTGAGGTCCCCAAGTTGTGCCCTTATAGATGGCAATGGGCCGTGCCCACTTCCATCTGAAGTAGGTGAATCTAGAAGGGGAGGCAGGCCGCCAGGCGCAGATTGTGAGGGGCTTATTGGAGACGTGATCTCGGCGTTGCTTAGACTGGGCACGGAATGGCGCGGCGCATGGTGGTCCCCCGCAGAATAAACTACGGCGGGGGCAGCCAAAGCTGGGCGCTCATCGCGGATGGGTAGGTCGTGACTTCCAATCCCTGAAGATATCGAATCGTGTTGAGCTCTTGAACCATCTTCTGGGCGTGAATGGTCAAGTTTGGATGTCGCAGCAGCAGCGATCGCATCAGTAGCAGGAGTGTCGGTCGCGCTGAATGCCAAGGCGCCAGCCGCAAGGATCTTGAGATCGAAAGGCTCAGCTGTCCTGGCCATGTCGCGATCGGGAGACGTTGGAGAGGATGAATCGTCTTCGGATCCGTTGTCAGAGGCAAGAGGCTCCAGAGCAGCTGTGTGAGCGACGTCTGGTAGCCTGCCGTTTCCGAGGTGAGCCACTAGAACGGCATCGCCTTGGATAGGCCCAACCCTGCGGCCACCGTGTAATGACTTCGAGCCGGGGCCGAGTTCGGGCGGTGGGCTAGGCGATGGTTGTAATCTGGGACGGTGAGCTTGCATTCGTGGGCTGTCGTGCGGAAGAACGTCATCGGGGTCGTAGCAATCGCTCCCAGCTGGCTGTTGCAAGTGGCTCTGAACAGCTGACGCAGTCATAGTTCTTGCGACTGGAGGTGGTAGTGGCTCGCAGCGCAGGCGGTATTAAGCCGCCATGGAGTGAAATGGCAGTATGTGATTGTATCGACGGCAGAATACGACAACTAGGACTTTGACAGTGGTTGCAGTAGCGACAATATTGACAATAGGAACAATGAGGCCAAGTTGTGCAGCAGGCATGCAAAGCCGTAGGGTTTTGTCGCAAAGTGCCGCGGGTTGTACGTGCTCCTCTGGTTCCTCCTCGCAAGGCGGCGGCTGATGGGGCCGAAGAGAGCGACAAGGAAGCGTCGATGCAAGCGAGATCAGGCCGTCCCCGTAGTGGCGGTGGTAGCAAGTGTGCGTCGCGTTTTCGGCCACGAGACAGCTATCGCCGCCGTCGTGGGCTACGGGGGCTGAGCAGCCGTTGAGGAAATCGAGTATATGAGCGAGAGGCGCGAGTAGAACGATATGGAGACCAGACTGAGAAGATGAAGCACGGCCGGGAGTTGGAGAATGGGATGCGTCGGCGCTTGAATGTCAAGGACGGAGGACGGAGGTCGGTGTGGCCTTGGACAGGGGTGGGTGGGGTGGGTGGAAATGTGAATGAGGAGCAAGTGTGGGAGTCAGTTGGGTGCTTGATTCTTTGGCGGATAAAAGAGGGCGCCCAGGGACAGTAACCATGCAGATGCAGCCCGAGCGAGGGTTAGTAAGTGAGAGAGGGATAGAGAGAGAGAGAGAGCGCAAACAGTTGGCGGTACGTAGGCGGTACAGAGGTGGACAGAGGCGATGATGGGAGTGGTTGGGTGGCCAAATGAGCGGCAAGGTGATTATCTGATTAACAGATCGGTCTTGTGGCTGTCACTATGGCTGTCGTCGTTGCCGTCGTCGTCGTCGTCTTGGTCTGTCGCTAGGTTGACTATGATGAGTCGTGTAGGATCGTGTTGGCCAGCCCGAGGTTGGGAGAGCAGAAAGAAAAGAAGGTAGAGAGAGCCAGGACAGAAAGGGATGGAACAGGAGAGGGTTGTTCTTGTTGTGAGCGTCCAGCCCGCGTCTGTGAGATGGTTTGCTTTTAGCGCATAATCTCGTGGGAGCGTATGAGAGATACGCCCAATGCCACAGATAGATTCGAGGGACCGCGTGACCCCCAGCGATGGGTAGGAAGGGACCTGGAAGCGAGAGAGACGACAAGATGCCGAGCCGCTGAGGAAGTGGATATCGGATGGCCAGGATCGTGCATGGGGATTGGGGAGGAAAGACGGGGTAGGTAGGGAAAGGGTGGGCGCCTTGGAAGATGAGGCTAAGTCAGGGTGTCGGGTCAGCTAAGGTCCCCCTGTGAGGCAAGAAAGGAGACGCAGCACCCGAGTGCAATGTCAAGGTACTGGGGGAGCGTGTACATTGGTACACGTCCGATTCCGCCACAGTTGAGCCTGAAGGGATGTACCTCACTTATCATTGTCGACGGTCGAGGCATGGCTGAATTGGTATGCCGGGATGCCGGGTCTGCTAGCAGCAGAGTCGTATTGACAGTTGCGCAAGTTGGTGGCATTCGTTCATTGGGGACCGCGGGGGAACAACATTACCGACGAGACGACAGTGTGAAGCCCGGGAGGGTCGTATCCCCAGTTCGATTCGGTTCCTCGAGAGGGTCTGATGTCAAGAACGGGCCTGGCCCCAACGCGCTTAGAGGGTTAAGACGGCGCAAGGTACCCTGACTTTGCCAGAGTGGGATATCTAACCAGCCTAAGCCAGGGCGCGTGCACGTCTCGCAGGGTCGTGGCCAGAGAGGTTCTGGGATCAAGTAGTCGTGTTATTTTGGCAAGTGAAAGGGCTTCAGCGCGCAGTGGCCAACTCTGCTATAACATCATGGGGGTAGCAGGCGGCGTTGACTCGCATTCGTTGGGTGCTGACTGAAAGTTGGTTGGCCCTTTCAAACGACATCGCAGAGAGCTGAGAGCGGCGGCAGGGGCAGCGATTGTACATTGTACGGCAACAACTGTGCGAACGTACGGCATCCAGAGCCCGACCGAGTTAGTAGATTTCCAGGCGGGGACGACTAGTTTAGTTCGGTCCATTACAGCCCGTCGACAGAGGATACTTTCCTAGGCTGCACGGTGAGTAACTGACACGGGGCGATGGATGGGACGGGGATGAGGCCGCGGACGTGGACGTGGAAACCCAAAACGGAGATTGGGGAATAAAAGAAGGGTGCAATACAATGTGAGCGGATAAAGACGGAGGCCAGATGAGAAGTCGCCAGATGGGATGGAACACTTAGTGGACGGGGATTGGGGTTATTGGATGAGATGATGGCAGGAGGGGAAGGCCGCCTGGAGGGAAGGTGAGGGGAAAGGGAGGGGGAGCCTCCTCATCAGTGAGACTGAGGAACGGAAGTTGCAGGTCGGTACATGAATTACCGTAAAGTACCTACCTACCTATTCCAAAGTGCCCTATCCCCTTCCCGCCAAAATGGAGGCAGGGCGTGCGTGACTCTTTCACCTTGGTACCCTTCCTTCCCCTCTATCCACCCAGCCCCCACCGGTCTTCCATCCGTCCTTCCTTCGCTCCCAATAAGGCTTTCCAAAAGTCGGGAATCAAACCCGGCAAGACGGCATCGCAACTCCACCCTAATCACAGTCACAATCACGCAAAGTCCCCTCCCGCCTCCCGGTTGGGTCTGATGCATGGATGGAAGGAACAGGCGGCAACTTTGTCTCTTCCGCATCCTCTGTGTTTAGGTAGACTCCTGCTCTTGACTTCTGGGGCCGAGGAAGCGGCAGCAGCACTACCATGTATTAATGTATTGATACAAGACAAGTCCCTCTTGAGGCACTACCTTGTACAGAATGACCTCAATTACCACGCAGCCTCCCAAATAGCCGCACCCAATGCAGTGGATGGGCGGACGGGATGGAAGTGGAGGCTGAACCTGATGTATGGGGGCATATCCCTGATTGCTGGTCTATGGCACCGTACCTCATTACTCTGCACTTCTCCCCCTCCCTGAGAGTTTCCGTTGCGTATTTGGAAGAGACCACCTTGTTTTCATGACCATCAGTATTGGTACCTATCACCACCTTCGGACCGCACATCGCGTGAGGGACTCGGTCCGTCCGTATCCAATCACACGCTGCCTATCATATACTTTCAAGACACCGACTCGCGCAGTGATAAGCTGATATTCGCAATCTATAGACTGATGGCGGTGTCCACGACAACTGCGATGATCCCCAGCCTCCCGTAGGAAGAGTACGAAGTAGAAACAAGGAATAAAACAAGCCAATATACACCAGCCATATTGTGTGACCCAAGCCATAGCCGGCCATGCCTTAATTGACGAGACTTTGCCAGAACCATTACGTCGTGGCTGCCGGTGTAAACTCTGTTTCTTTGAAGGGCGCACTTTCTCCGCCGTGCACCGACAGTCACCCGATATCCGCTTCGCTTTCCGTTCTGCTCCGTCTCGTGTGTGTGCCTGTATGCGTGTGTGTCCCCGCGATTCCATGTCGCCGCAGAACCCCTTCTCGGCCCATATCCTTCTCTCTACGTAGTAGGTGCAGACTGCAGGCGCGTGGTGCAGGTAGAGGCAGGTGTACTGAGAGGTGCAGATGCCAACTCTCGTTTCCCCACACTCGGCTGGTCTCCAACGACCTCTTAAGTCTTACCCCTCTCGAGACGCCTGCTCTGTGATTGGCTTTGCCGTGCCGTGTCCGTCCAATGGCCACGATGGCATCTGGGGTGGTCCACTATAACCCCCGAGATTGACCCATGCGTCCGAGACGCTAAGCCTCTAAGCCTCAATCCGCAAGACGGATCAGCCAAGGGCGGCTCGAACTGATGGTTGTGATTGGACGACGTGACGAGTCAAAAACAGGGACCCCAGCCCAACCTTTTTTGTTCTTCATTTCCCCCCCTTGGGCGATGGAAGGGAACGCAAATGCATCTGTAGATTTCGTGGAACCGCCCAGCCATCGGATTACACAATGATCCATCGCACCACGGCGGCTTGGGGCTTGGGCTGGGGCACTGTTGCGCTTACTCTCTCCGGCTCCGGTGCCCGCCTTTGGCCGAGTCGAAGGCACTGGAACGAAAGCTGCTTTCCCCAGCTGATGTCCCTAACGTGGTCTCTCGGTCGCTTTTCTTTGCGTTGAAGCCATGAATGAATCGCGGAAGACCACGTTGCCTGCCGACGTTGGCTGTTCAAGGGCAAAGCAAAATTCAAACTAGGTGCTAGACTTCCGCACAGGCGCCCCTGTCTCTGTATTGGGGTGAATAATCCTGGCAAGGAATCCGAATAGCCCGAAATGATGTGCGGAGTTTCTTCCCCAGCACCTCTTATCTTCCTGTCCTCAGAAGCGGTCGCATGCCGTTTTACCGCCAAGCCTGTGCTATTAGAGCCTCTTGAGGGACTTTTGTCCCATACCTTTCCTGCCTTAGGTACCCCGGACGGCGTGTTCTTCAGCGAACAGGCGATCCCTGGTTGCTGGCGCCCGCTAGAGGATGGCGGGTTGGTTTAAGCCTTAATTGAAGTACGTATAGAGTAAGAGTACCTAAACCACCTATTTATCTAGTAGGTAGGTCGGTGGGTTGGTCGGTAGGTGGATAGATACCTACTTCACCCAGCCGATGGTTCAAACTATTTTTTTTTTCTCGTGACATAAAGAAGGCCCTGTTTCCCGCGCAGGCCAAGTTGCGACGGCGCGCCATCCATGTTTTGATTGAAATGCTCGCTTGTGGGTTCGACACTGACAACCCCATGTTTCATTCTCATTGCCCGCCCTATACGGATACTAAACCGGGAACGCTGTAGCCTCGCTTGGATCAAACCCCCTCCCCCAGAAGATCTCCTACTTAATCAAAATGAGCCTCAACCTCTGACGCGACATCTGCAAGGACCGCTTGTAATGCCGTCCATCCCATCCCGTCTCATCTCCCCATCCCCATGGCACGACACGAGCGGAAGATCTGGGTTTCCAGGACCAACCGCATAAATATGGATTGTGGCTGTCATATTATAGTGGTTACCATACCCTCCGCTGGACCACTCAGTTCCCTCGGCTCCTGACCAACTTGTTGCCGGTGACCTTATCTCTAATGCATCTCCTCGATGTCCAAGAAGCATTTCGCACTCGTTTTTTTCTTCTTTCCGCTGCTCTTGATCTCGACAGATATCTGCCAACGTCCATGTGCTCGTGTAAACTGCCCGCTTCAGCATCTGTAATCTAAGGCAATCGCTTGTGAAGTTCATATATGATTGCTCCTCAACCCCACTGTGAGGTGTTCTGCTCAGATAGCCGGCTCCACCACGCCGACTGTGTGCACACACACTCGCACAGTGATGCTCCGATGGTCGGACAGAGGCTGTGGGCAGTCCGCCCCAAATGCCTCAACACACCCCACCATCACTGCTTTGTTGATCACCTAATATCGTGGCAGTTTGCCCCCAGGTGCCTTGACTTCTTTTTTTCCTCATCATCCTCACCATCCTCACCAGAATCTTGACCGGTATCAACAGAAGTACTTGTAGCCTGTATCAAAACAGGGTCTTGGTCACTCCATCGCCAACTTGTTGTTGTTTCGTGATCCAGAGACTCCTTCATCCTACCCCGCCATGCCCGCCACGAGTTCTATGCGTGCCGTCATCTTCAACGGACCGCAGAACGTGTCCGTTGAGCGACGCCCCATCCCTACCCGTGCGCCACTCCTGTTTTTACCCTCTACAGCCATTCTCTTGACCATTAATTTTCACTAACCAGTCCAACAGTTCAAGATGACGGCGATGTCATTGTCAAGGTCCAGGCTACAGCTCTGTGTGGCTCGTAAGACGGTCTTGTTTCGTTCTACGGCAGTTCCCTGAACTCATAGATTATAGGGAGCTACATGTCTTTCGTGGTCACCAGCCATCCGAAACGGGCTTCATCATGGGCCACGAATTCACCGGCATAGTCATTGAGAAGGGCGCGTCTGTCACCTCGTTGAACATCGGCGACAGGGTTGTATCTCCTTTCACCACGTCGTGGTAAGCTTTCCCAAAAGTTCACCTCCCTGGCGATTTTGCCGATTCTCACATCCTTCCGCTCAGCATGCAATGCTTCTACTGCAAAAACGACTACACATCCCGCTGTGTTCGCAGCAAGCTATTTGGCTGCGGTGCTCTAGATGGTGGACAGGCCGAGTACGTGCGTATACCTGATGCCGACGGAACGGCTATGAAGGCCCCAAGTGCTATCTCCGACAATGCTTTGGTGCTCATGGCAGACATTTGGCCAACAGGCTTCTTCGGCGCCAAGTCTGGATTCAGCTTACTTAAAGAGGAAGAGAGATCCAATGCAACCGCAGTTGTCATTGGATGCGGGCCCGTCGGTCTTTGTGCCGTAATATCCGCACTTGAGTACCGTCCCAAGCACCTCTTTGCCATTGACAGTGTAGACAGTCGTTTGGAAATCGCCAGAAGCCTTGGCGCGGAGCCCTTGAACTTCAAGACAGACCGTGCTGGCATGGAGAGGCGAATCAAAGAGGTAACGGAGGGTCGTGGGGCCGACGTTGTGATTGAGGTCGTTGGCTTGAGTCCCGCCCTCAGAACAGCGTTCGACGTTGTCAGGCCATGGGGCGTTATTGCCAGCATCGGGGTCCACAACAGCGAGGTTTGTAACAAGAAAAGTTGTGATGTGAGAGATCTGGCTGACGAACAATGTAGATTCCATGGACAGGCACGGAAGCATATGAGTAAGCGTGGCCAACCCGAGCTTCGAAGGCTTTGTCCTTTGCGCTAACAGCATCGATAGCAAAAATCTGAGATTGCAAATGGGCCGATGTCCTGTTCGGGCCATCTTCCCTGAAGCTCTAGCTCTGTTGGAAAAGAGGCAAGACAAACTTGGGTGCGTACTTCCTTGGTCGACGGCGCAACGCCTCCCCCAGCCGAGGACCCTGGCCCATTTCTCTCCCCTTTCAGCCAGCTAACAGCCCAGATTCATGTTTGACCATGTAATGCCATTGAACGAGGCTGTTGAAGGATATGCGCTGTTTGATCAGATGAAGGTCCAGAAGATCATCTTCACACCGTGATTCTTTTTAAGGGGGTCGATCTTGCTGGGATCTGGTCGCAATATCAAGGCTCAAGCAGGGTTAGGTAGCTAAAAGAGGCTCCCAGAACTGGCGGCGGGGGACATTGGTTGAATGAAAAATACCCTGGCAACTGGGGCTCTAATTCTGCCTTGGCTTCACAATGCCATCGTGAATGAGATAGTAGGCGACCGTTGAGTCATCGTGGACCACTGCGAGTAGTAGCCTCTTTTGGCGGTCCACGCCGCGCCAGTCTCGTCGTGAAGGCGCACCGTGACTTGCTTCTGAGGTAACTGGCTGTGGCAGAGCGTCAATCGAGTCAAAAATGGTAGCAAAAGAGCTCAAGGTCCATCGCTCGCTGAGATGAACCGGCAGAACCCATTCAAACTCGGGGGACTGGCTTGGACGTTTACCAGTCATCTGTTCGATCTCAAGAGTCTCTATTTGCTCGTCCGGGTGCATGTAAAGACGCAATGGCGGTAGACCGGTGATGATGGGACGTGGTCGGTCTCTGCCGTCATAGCGAATTTCAACGTCGGTCCAGTCGTGCTGATCTCGAAGGTTGTCAACCACCAGAGCGGTAAGATTGGCGAGATGCTCTGTGGGAGCCATTGCGAAACAAAATGTGGGTGGCTTTGTGTGAATGCGAGTTACTTAGTGACTGAAGTGAAATGAAAATGAGATGATGTTGAACTTGGCAAATAATCAGAGCTAATTGCTATCGATGCGCAGAGTTCTCAAGGTTCCCAAGGCGGGTAGCACCGGGCGTAAAGTAAAGTAGGTGGAATTTGAAAACCAATTAGATTCGTGAAAACCCGGGCCATCTGTAAGCGCTTTATGTAGTAATGTGCTCTTAATAGGTAGATGCCAGGTACCTGGTTATGCGTTTATCATACCCGTTTAGTGTTGTAAAAGAGTCCCATTCATACTGGGCAGGAAGTTTCCTCACGTACCGTACGCTCATCGGGGATTGGAATATGATCAACCATAAACAGGAGATAACGTGCCAGCACATAGTGAGATTTTAATGCGGCACTCCAGCAGGGTGCGGGCGAAGGAAGGGGGGAAAAAAGGAAGGGGAAAAAAAAAGAAGAAGGTCTAACTATGCGCTTTCGGGACCATTGGGTGAATGAGCTTTGATGCCGACACGATTAAGGGCATTGAACCCCAAGTACCGTCTGTAGTGGTTCTCCAATTAGGTACCTATGCCACTAGTGAAAGGAGACCGAAATCAAACGTCCGCATGGAAATATGCTGGACTCCCGAGGTTGCCGTGTTGATTATGCAACAATGATTTCATATGCCTGCATACGAGAGAATGGGGACTTGATTCTATTGAGTAGAGGGAAGACCCCCCCTCTTTTTTTTCCTCTTTTTCTTTTTTGCCTGGAGTGGACTTCTTCTACGCCGCATTGTATTTTCTCAGATGCCCATTTTACCTTTGGGCCTGGTCTCTACCCCCCCTTCCCCTGCTATAAAACTACCAGTTCGACCAAGACGGACCGGAAGTCTAAGGAAAGGGCACAGCAGTTTTATCTCTAACTTTTTTATGCACCGATTGCGGACACGACACCTTGCTGTCTGGGCTAGAACGGTATGTGCTCATAATGTATGACAGCAACACCCTAAGCGAGAGAAGGTACTCAACTCTTATATTTCGGTTTCATGACAGACTTGGCTGATTAGCTGGAACCAAAGGTTGAAGTCCGGGGCAACGAAGTAATCTGCTGTGTCATATTGTTCTGCTTCAGTGTACCCGACGATGCCCCCAACTGCTCACTGCTGACGGGCATTTGAGAGATGGTGACAGCTACGTGATTTCGCAGACAAGAATGAATGCAGCGGGCACTGGCAACCCAAATGAAACCTGGGAACAGGAGCTTGTTTGAGCAAGTCACCCGCAGCAAAGGAAAGCAGGAAGCACGGCTCTTTCATTCTCATACACCCCCACCCGCCTACGTAATCAGACAAGAATAGGCCAACCAGAGGTCGTTGAACTCAGCAAGAGCGTGCACATTCCACGGATCCCGTCACATTTGCGTACTTATACACTACATAGGCAGGTACTCTGTAGGTATGTAACATCTACGGTACCTACGTGTCTGACCCAGCCAATTAATGAGCGATGAGGTACACAAGAAAAACTGTTTGGTTCCACACCTCTCGTTTCCCTGGCGCGCTGACCTCACTGTGCGTCCAGAACACGTACAGATCAAATTTGCTGCAGCCGCAACATTAGTGGTACACGTACTGACGTAACTGTCCCAGGACCATCTAGCGCTCATTTCCCCACTTACAGATAGTAGTTTACGTTTATGCGTACATCGCCGCTCATTGGTTACAACAGGTCCGGATACCCGACCGGCACCCCGTTATCCTTGGACAGCCCAGTGGCTTGAGCTTCCTTTGTATGCCCCTCTTCAGTATAGTAGGACCGCAAAGCAGTCTGCCCTGCCATGATGCTCTTTCTGCCCTGGGCCTGGGCCATCCATGGAAATCCTGACTGCCTTTGGACCGGATTGGACCGCCCATTTCCCTCCCGCCCCTTTTCTGCTACTTTACACTACCTAGCTGTGTCGCCAGGTTCCAAGAGTCAAGACAGTCACTTTTTTTTTTAACCCCGCCAATCTTTATCTGGCTACAAAGTATCCCGTCTCGTCCCTGTGGCTTTGATGTTCTCTTGTTCTTTCCTGTCCATGTCTACCCCCTTATTAACTTTAATCCTATCTTTCCATCAAAATCACAACCCTGTTGAACATTCCGTCAGAGTCCCCGATCTTGGTACCGGTACTTGGCCACTTTTCGTCTCGTTTTCTGGTTTTTGCTAGTCTAAGATACCCTACACACATCCCATCCCCTATCTCTTACCTCCCTCACCGTCTACTTGTACGGACAGACTTCTTCCACTGCTGGCTCCTCTTCATTTGCGAACTGTCTCACGTCTACACACGGCCTCCAAGCATACACGTCATCGTCATTCATCACGGTCCTCGATTCAACGCACCACCCCAAACCGAGCATAAACAAATCATCTATATCCCAACAACTGCCTGTGTCTGCGATATCCCCTTCTACGACTGAACCGGTTGCGCCCAAGTTATCATCTTTCACTTCAACATATCGTACCTCACAACGACGATTTACTGTTTCAAGTGTCGCTAGAACTCTCTTGTGTCCAGAGATCTTGGCCCCAGAGGCTAGAAGAAACCGCTCGCCGTCCACAATGTCACGCCCAGACTCATCACTGAACAGCAGTGAGAAGGAAAGGAATTTGCCACTCGACCAGTCAACTACCGATACGAAGTTTTCCGACACAAACACAAACAACCACGTCGAGGAGAAGAAACAGGATGTGGAAGGCAGGATACCAACGAGCGCAGCCTCTGCGACAGTTGCTACAGCTGAGCGCGACTTATACGATCCCTTCGAGAACGGCTATCACTTCCCACCGGCGCATACAAAGAAACAATCTACCTTGATCGGCCTAAAGGCCTTTTGGAGATATACATGTACGCCCCTCGGCTTCTTTGTTGTTCTGTACGGTCTCAATGTCGTGGCTTGGGGTGGCATGTTATTCTTGTTACTCTGCAACGCTGCACCAGCCATGTGCTACCCGACATGCAACGATATCAACTCTCCCCGTCGCAAGTGGATCGAGTGGGACTCGCAAATCTTGAACGCCCTTTTCTGCGTCACAGGCTTTGGCCTAGCGCCCTGGAGATTCCGCGACCTGTACTTCTTGATGCAGTATCGCATCTTGAAGAAACCCGAGGCTCTTGGCCGGTTAGCCGGTATTCACCGTGGATGGTTCCGGTTACCTGGTTCGGATCAGCTCCCTGTTCATATCGGCCCCCAGAATGTAGCCGAGCTGGCAGCTGAACAGCCCGTCTTGCAAATTCCTCACCCGACGAAAGCCATCCCAGATCCGCCTCTCACCGGCATCCGAGCACCTCCGACGGCCATTTGGAAGATGGACTTCGTTGTTTGGTTCAACGTGTGGAACACGTTTCTGCAGTGTGTTCTTTCTGGTTTCATGTGGGGAATGAACCGATTCGATCGACCTAGTTGGTCAACCGGCCTATTCGTTGCACTCGCTTGCTTGGCGGCCGCCATAGGAGGCTTGATGATGTTTTTCGAGGGTAAGAAGGTTAAGAGCATAGAAGGAGTACCGCTCAGCAAGGAGGATGAGGAGCGTCTGGCAAAGGACAAGGAAATGGGAGTTCGGCATTACAACAACATCAAGGACAAGAAACCGAAAGAGCCCAAGGAGAGGAAATAGGTTGTGCTGCCACCCTCCACCTAATCGTCACTTTCGTTTACGCAAACGCGAATATAATACAGACATGGAATATGCTACGTTGCTTCAGCAAGCGCAAATGACAAGTATCATGAGATTTTTGGGGCCAGGACTGTTGGTGAACATGCAAAGCTCACTTGATGTTTCAGTACACACGGGTAACAAGTCGCATCTGAAAGCCTCCACGATGCACTTGGTCCAACAAGTCTCGTAGGCGATGCGAACAAATATGATAATGATATCGATATTGATTTCATCGTAGTAGGCAAATTAAGACCATTCATCAATGGGCAGGATGGGATGAGCCGGCATATATGCGTCTAACGAGTCGAACTCATCATACTTGTAACCGTAATCTATGCAGTTTATCCTGCTTATGGCTGTAGACAGACTGACAGAGACGGGCATGACCTGCTGTGCGAGGCGCTGGTAAATACCTAAGGTACCCGTCGATTGCATACAAGCCCGAACGATAAGACACTCACTTGCTGTGGGGAAACCAAAGCACATACCCCCTGATAAGCCATGGGGCTCGATACTTCCCGGGCTACGGCTGTTACATCTGCAACTCTCCGATTACTGCGCGCTGTTCCCCGTCTCTGGGCAGTTATCCTCCTCCTACATCCAACCCCCAACCTCATAATCCATTCCTGTTCCTTCTTTGCTTCGCATTCCTTTATCATACACTATCCGCACCGGGCTGTGCCTTGTATGAGCTCAACCTTGATCTCCGCAGAAAGTTCTTGAAAGGAACGTCGGGTTCCTTCTTCCCTTTCTTCGTTCTCTTAGCTTCGTACATCTGCCTGTTGACAGTCTCGCCGCTGATTCAACTTGACCAAAGGCATACAACATGGCGTCGCGAGCCCTCATTCCCTTTCTCGTGGCCATGATGCTACTGACGGGTGTTTGCAACACCCTACTTACCAAGTATCAGGTACGAAGTATCTGAATCTCTCTGCACTGTCTATTCCGTGTGCTTCTCATCTAAAAACCTGATTCGGTGGTCATCCACACGCTAACAATGTCATCCACATCCAGGACATGCAATGCGTCCGCAACTGTGATGCGAAGGACCCCGCGAAACGAGCTTACTTCAATCAACCTGTTTTACAGACGGCTCAGATGTTTGTTGGTGAAATGGGCTGCTGGTTGGTCGTTGGCCTGATGACCCTGTACCGCCGCTACCTCTCACGGGCATCTCCTACCTCGGATGGCTACCAGGCCATCAACACGAATGATACCGATGAAGCCAGCGCCGCTCTCGTCAGCAATCCCAACGGCATTCCAAAGCCGCGAGAGCAGGAGCAAGGGTCCATCCTGCGCGGCCCCCGCATCCTCTTGTTGGCCCTCCCAGCCATTTGTGATATCCTCGGGACGACGTTGATGAACATTGGCCTTCTGCTGGTTGTTGCTTCCATCTACCAAATGACCCGTGGAGCCTTGGTGCTCTTTGTCGGTGTCTTCAGTGTCGTATTCCTCAAGCGACGGCTTTTCTTGTTCCAATGGCTTTCGCTCGTCGGCGTCGTAGTGGGTGTTGCGCTTGTTGGGTTGGCTGGAGCCATTTATCACGAGAACAAGAACAAGATCGAGAATGCCGCCGATGAGGGATCTCCAAAGTCCAATGCCTTCTTAACCGTCGTTGGAGTTCTGCTCATTGCCGGGGCGCAGATATTTACTGCTACTCAGTTCGTCCTCGAGGAATGGATCTTGGAAAGGTCGGCCATCGAGCCCATCAGAGTTGTTGGATGGGAGGGCCTCTTCGGTTTCGTTGTTACCGTGTTTGGCATGGTCGTTTTGCATTTTACCGTTGGACACACTGCCGCCGGAAAGAACGGCTACTTTGACATGGTCGAAGGCTGGAGACAGCTCACTGAGAATAGAGCCATTGGCCTATCCAGTATCCTTATCATGATCAGCATCGGGTAGGTCTCTTTCAAGTTGTCTTCGTATTCTCCTCCAGTACCGCATTCGAGCTATACTGATACTGCTATCACTTTAGCGGGTTCAACTTCTTTGGTCTCTCTGTTACCAGGAGTGTCAGTGCCACCTCGCGGTCCACAATCGACACATGCCGGACCCTTTTTATATGGATCGTTTCCCTTGGGTTGCACTGGGAAACCTTCAAATGGCTGCAGGTTGTCGGCTTCGCTCTGCTCGTCTACTTTACCTTCCTCTTCAATGGAATCGTGCAACCGCCCTTCAAGTTCCTTATCCCCGATGAAGAGGTGGAAGAATTGTTACCGGAAGAGCCGATTGAGCACCAGTAGATTGTTATGAAAGCTAAGAGGAGCCATGTATCGTGTTACCAAGTTAGGAATGGGTTGTTTTCCGGATCAAATACAGTTCTCAATGCACTAGATCATAGAGAAGGATAGTTGTGCCTGGTGTAATGGAGTGCGGTTTGAGACATGCTCTTAAATATTCTTAAACGAATCTTGTATTGGTTCTTGCGCGAAGTTGAAGAAATCCATACCCTTAACCAAACACCATTTCTAACCCTGCTTGATGCCGTGTGTTCCTTGGCTTCGTTATGACCTAAAATCCAGCTCTTGACTCTATATTGGCAGGTGGCCGGAGAGCAGCAAGATATCGGCTGACAAGAAGAGCAAAGAAGGCCGAAACAAAAGCCATTCCATCAAAACACCATCAAGCGCCGGCTTATATGCAAGGCGTCGCCCAGCTCTCCCAGAGGAAAAAGGAAAGGAAAGGAAAGGAAAATAAAATAAAATAAAATAAAAGCAAAGGCCGTAATAAAGCACGCATACCTTAGGACGAGAAGCATATGTATAGCGTCACCTTCTGCAACCCACCCTTTGGTTGTTGAGACCTCTCTAAGTAACGTTGCAAAGCAGTTCCGCTTCGAGAATGAACTTTCCTTCCTTGTACTTCTCTGTAGCCTCATATGCCTTATCATACTTCCACCCGACAGTCTCCTTGCACTGCTTGCAGGTGATATCCCGGACTATATGGCGTCCCGTCGTCATGTTGCGCTCGCTGGGCTCGCCTGTTTCGATATTCACGACAGTGTTGAACAAGTATGCTTTGCCGTGCTGTCCTCGGAAGTTCTAACGGGGGGCAAGTCTGTTAGCCAAAAGAATAAGGAGAACAGCGACTAGTGATAAAGCACCACGCTCCCTACTTCAGTTTCAAGACATAGGAAGTTACGCATAAAGACGAGATATACACCGCCATAAGAGAAGAATGTGATAGGCAGAGGGATAAAGGGAGAGAAAGACCTACGCGGCTGATGATATCCTCATGATTTGACAGATGCGCCTTGCATGTCTTGCAGCCGTAGACCTTGCTACTATTCAAGTATGTGTTGTATGCCAAGCCCATTGTATTGCAGACCTCCCCCTTAAGGAGGCAGGGAAATGTCGAACGGAGAGTAAAGTTGGACGGTTCGGGTGGTCGAGAGAGATTGGTGGTGCGGATGAGAGCCGTTTTCAAGCCCGCCCTCTATTTGAACTCGCTAGGTGCCGGCACTGAATGAGCCCGCTTCTCCGTATGTCTTACGGCACCAAATGTCTGCAAGACTCGACTCACAGAAGGTCGAAAGGCGATAGTATTACAAGAAGTTCGTCGAATGGATGAGGCCTCCTGGTCGGCTCTGCTGTGCTTCGGACGTCGTGCGAGAGAGAAGGTGGGAGGTGCGGGGATTCGGTTGCAGGTTGGAGGATAGAGTAGGGAGAAGTGTCGCCAGTGTGCAAAGGAATAGTGGCAAGGTACCTAGGTAGGTAGGTTATGTAGTGAGGCAAAGCAGTTAAATGGCGAGGCGCCCCTGCCCTGCTGGCATTCGCCAGTTCTGTCCACGTGAGCACTGTATGACCTCAAGGGAAAGATTTCATCCAACAGAATGGCAACTCGAGATTCAGAGCAAAGTCTTCACTGGGAATGATTGCCAAAGGAGTTTGAGTTTGAGCAAGTTGCTTCTCGGACCGTAAGGTAAGCACAAAGGTCATGGTCCAAGAGGCATCAAAGTACGGATGGGGTGCCGTGGCCTGGAATGCCTGGCTTACAAGGATAATGCACGGGCCACAACGGAACAGACAGGGGTTTGGGACCAGTGATTGTGCCTAGTGACCTTCAGTGCTGCGAGAGTGACGCATCCAAGCTGCTTACCCCGCTATTTCTCCCAACTACATAAATTGTGTGTAAGTGGCTACACTGTATATAATAATCCCTATATTTACATTCGATAGAATTCAAGTATGCAACACCTCCCTCCAATATGAAGAAGCCTTGAGCATTCTCAACCCATATTGGCTTAGATCATCCTTTCTGTATGGCTCGATATCATTTGATGCTCGTTCAGGATGCAAATGTCGCTGTGGCAGCCTTGTGATTTGCAGCCAGGATACAACCTTCCCTCATAATCATCGTCATCCATCCATTACCACGAGAAGGCCTCCTCGTTGAAGTCGATCGCTGAGTCGTACTGGCGGTCGCGGACGGCGCGACGGACCTCGTCACTAAGAGCACCAGGACCACACACACTGATGCCCATGGTTCCGACCTGCGACTCCTGCTCGGCCTTGATAAGCGTTTCGATGTTGGGTCGACCGGGAAACATCTGAACAGTTGACGAAGGGCTGTGGATCTCCTTGGTGGAGCGCGGTCGACTGACGAAGAGCATGATGCGGAGAACATCTCTACGCTTCTCCATGGCCAGAATCTCCGTCATCCAGGGGCGAATCCATTCGAGATGCTCAGGGCTCTGAATGGTCCACACAAGAATCACCCTCCGGGCGGCAACCGTTCCATTGGCGTAGCCAGCAACGAGATCACGCACATGGGGAACCTGGTGAGTGATTCCAACGCCGCCGGCAAATAGCATGACAGTGCCGTAGGAGCGCATGCTGTGCATGCCGCCATAAGGACCCTCCACCATGCAAGTTGTCGTCATCTTACCCTCAGGGCAAGCAGCCGCCTTGCGGTACAGCGTATCCGTCATGCCAGTTCGGGCGCGCATCACGAAGGACATAGTAGTCTTTCGCATAGCGAGGATATCCTGACGGTTAAGAGAAGCCTTCTCGGCCAAGGGGTCCTCGGCCTCCTCGCTCCACGCAACGGAAAAGGGGTGAGACTGCAAAAGACTGATGGAAGGCAAGTACACATAGGCGTGCTGGCCAGGCCCGAAAGTCCAGGGACGAACCATGGTGACTGTGACACGGCAGGCATTGCCGGGAAGGGCCTCGACGAGGGCTTTGCTGCCGCCATGTCCTACATTGCCATAGAAAACACGAGCGGCACGCGAGGCGCGATCACAGGCCCAGAAAATGATGACAGGCCAAAGGTACTTGAGCTGAGGCAGAGCCTTCATCTGTAAGTGATACCAAACACCGACAACGGCCGTAATGGCCAGTAGGATGTGGAGAAGCTTGAATGTCTCGTAAAATGCGTGCCTGATAGGACTCGAGGCCTGAATGCCAATAGCGGTGAAGGCGCAAGTGGCCTAGTGTCAATATCAGCTCCCATCTGAATCATGTCAAGCAACGCCAAAAACTTACGACAAAGCCAAAGAGCAAAAAGGGAACCGTGGTAGCTGACGTAATAGCAGCTTCCCAGCTTGATGCCTTAGCAGTGCTGGACATCCAAGCCAGAGTATGAGCGATGGACTCGAGGATGACGATACGACCGAACCAACGGTGCAGCAAGTTGAATGTGTCAAACGAGATGCCCAGCATCTGGATCAACGGGTTGTTGCGTCCAGCCATGAGGAAGAGTGGAATCTGTGATCTCGTTAGTTTCCGACCATTGGCATGTTTGACTCGATCTTTGCAGTCACAGCGTCGTGCGGTCTGCTGCTTTGACCATATCATTCGAGGAACGACGCACCATATTAACGACAGCCAAGGTACCGGTTCGGTTTCGGAGCTGCTTAGCCGCGTCGGCGAAGGAGCCAGCAAACGGGATATCGATGACGCAAAATGCGATATTGGTTGCCAGGTAGCCGGTAAGGAACAGCAGCTGAAAACGACTGGGCAGGGTGCCGACATTGATGGCGGAGCTGAGCTGAATCTCACGGTTGTGACGCTTGCTGAAGACCGGGGCATAAAGAACATTCCTTTTGATCCAGGAAACCTTGGAGTCGGACTGCGCAAAGTATCGCTGGTTGTCGTTGTTCAAAGAGGCGACGGTGCGAACATATTTGACAATGACCGTCCAGACCCTCCAGATAATGACAGCTGCAGAGATACTGGCGCAAATATAGAACAAGTAGTTGGAGAGAGCCTGGTTCTCAAGAGCAGCCTCAAGGGCCGCCTTTTTCTGCTCGGGTGAAGTTGTTGCGCCTCCACCAGCCATGGTGAACGTGTTGAAGATTCAGACTATGGTCGAAGAGGAAGAGAGGTTGCGTCGGCTGATCGTTCCAAAAGGGGACACTGGTTACAGTAGAATCGACACGTCGCCCAGCAATTCGAATCCAAATACCGAGAGCGGAATGAGAGCGTAGCAAGGTGTGCGTAGTCGTTGTGTGTAGTCAAGGGGGTCGTCGGTCATACAGTAGTAGTAGGGGTTGTCTGTTAAGCAAAATGTCGTCTCTATAAGGCTCTTTGAAATATCTCGAGGCCGGCACGATAGGCACCTTCCAAACAAAAGGCAAGCCCCGATGAAAAGAAAAAGTCGAAGAGTGCAGTCAATGCAAGAAATGAAGATGGTCAGCGTGAAGGGGGAAAGGACGTCGTCGTGGGTTGAGACGTCACTCGAGGAGAAATCTTGAGGAAGAGAAGGACAAGAACTGAATAAGTGACCGTCGAGAGAGAGAGAGAGAGAGAGAGAGAGAGGATAACGAAAAGAGGAATGTGAGACTAGTAAATGAGCGAGAGAAGCCGGTGATGTAAGCACCTGGTAGTGTTTCTCTTAGAACGGGTACACCAAATTGCGGCATGCGACCAAGGCCGAGTTGGTGTGTTCCAGGATCCTCCTTTCCACTAGGTACCTATGCAGGGTGACTACAAATAAGCAGTGACAGAGTCTTAGGTGGGAGGGGCGTGTGGTGGTGGGTGGAGATGTACTCTGTATGAACCGGCACGATCCAGTTTGAGAAGGACTAAAGCATCATCATCTATTTCCCACTAAGAGGATACCTGGCTCCGCTATTGTGGACGGCCCTAAACGGAGACTGTGTGCCCTCCTGTTGTTCGAAGAGCATAACCGTGTAGGAACCCAAATAGACGAGGGGCTGGACATTGTGCTGGGCTGAAGACGAAGAGCAAAAACGCTCAATCTTTCCAAATATTTAACGGAGTAATCATCGTGCAAGTGCAAATTCGGACAAGCCGAGCTGCAGCGTCCCGGGCTATACAGGGCAGAGGCTACCCGATGCGAGGCATATCTGCGTACTTCATAGGTAGACATGGCACACGGCGCATATTGACAAGCAAACAGGGTTGATGTTAGTAAATACGTCCGGAATTCACACGCGGCGTCCGCACAACGGCAGTTGAGAGCGGGGATACCGAGCACCGCACAGAGCGCGGAGCTGCCAAACAGAACAGAACAGGCGTCTCAAAGCCCTGGCCATCAACCAAGATCATGATACCATCGACCAGCATGGCTCCCGACCCCTTCCTCTGCGCTGTTCTTTGCCGGCCCAGATGTTAGACAACCACTAAGAAGATAGCAGACTCGAAGGGATCGGACTGAAATGGCCTGAACTGAGTGGTTTGATCAGGCTGACCAAGACGGGACGGCATCAGGGGTTTGAGAGACGACAGTTTTCGAGCAGGGAATTGGCTTGGGGCTTGAAGACAGATGGCAGGGATCAGGGCATCTCTAATGTCTTTACGCAAAATCAAGGAGTGACGACGCAGGGGCACAGCACACGCTCAGAAGCTGACCGAGGGGCGTAGCTGCGATACGTACTTCTCAGCCTACCAATACTACCACCTATACTCCGACAAGGGACAAAAAGGCTACATCGACCAAGGCTCAGCAATATACCTGGATCAGGCATTTGCTTCTTAATATTTTCCTCATTCCTTTTCGAGTCCTGTTCGCCGCTCTCTTAAACCCGTTTTGGTCTCGGTCTGCGTTGGCTGGCCTGCGCTGGTGTTTCCTTTCATCTCCTTATCTTTTTTAATTTTTCTTTTCTTATTTTCTTTTCTTTTGGGTCAGGGGGCGGTGATCGCCTTTCCCCTTGCCTTTGCCACGAAGCGCAGGGAGCATCGAGGTCCTTTACAGGGTCGGTCCATTGGCAACTAGCCCTGGCCAAGGCTGGCGCTTGCAAAGCTGATTGGATGGAAGACCTAGCCGTACCTCGCGGCCGGCGCGCCATTCAGGGGCAAACGCCCGGCTTATGTCGGAGGTCTTTTGCATTCAGCCAACCACCATCGCACAGCATTAGCATCGACGCTTATCCTGAGATGCGTTGCTTCGCCCTTGACCAAGGTCGCATATATGGCCGAGAGTGGCTCTAGGCACGGTTATGCTACACCACCACTACATTAGGTACACTCGTCAGCAAGGAAGTTGGGAGAGGAGAGACCATGAGGATGGTACACAGCGACCGCCATCAACCGCGACATCGTGTCCGTTGCTTACTAGATCTATGTTAAAACATACGGCTGATAATGGACACGATCCTGTTTCCGTCGTCGTAATGTCTGACGACGCTGTCTGCCGTGTGTTTTGTCGTCGTTAATGCGACGATTTCCGGCCTGAACATTCACAGCAGCCATTGCCAGGTAAGGTAGGAATGTCAGGATCTTCCAGCCTGGGCTTTGCTAGGTGGCGGGGAGATGGGGGGGGCCACTTCTTCGAAATTCTGAAACAAGGCCACGTCCATGCCTGCGGCTATACTTGTACTAATGACGACCGCACACCTTACTAATACAATAATAGAAGGGATGGCTGGTGGGGTCTGCCACCGGCAACTACTGCCGCTGTCAAACGACCAATGCTTGCCACGCTGCGCTGCGTGGGACAAAACAACTGCCTTCCAGTGGAATACGCACACTTGCTTCTGGGCTCTTTACAGGAGCCTTGGGTGCTCATCGTTCAATAAGGTGGCTGGTGCTCGCGGTCAAAGCTAGGGCTGTGTCGGCCTTGTCCTTGTCACAACGAGAAAGTACCAGCCGAAGGTCGCATGGCTCCAAAGCCCAACAACGGCAACAGGGATACGAAGTAGAAACGTAATGATCCAACATCATACAGTAGGTAGGCAGGTGCCACCCAGCCAATCACGGCACACTACTTTGTATGTGTATGGTACATACTATGTAGTAGATAGATAAGACGCAAAGCAGACGCATCCCCATCCCCATCATCCATCGCTCGCTTGATACCCGCGGATCTGGTCCGTGTCTCGGCCTCATGCTCTTTTCGTCCGCTCTTCTGATACCGACCCAGGCGCCAGATCTGCACGATATCGTCATATTCTCGGCTAAACCAAACAAAACGACACGCCCCTGCAGCCCACATCATGCCCTCCTGAAGTAATTAGACCCGATCTCTCTCGGCTGCACTTGACAATCTGCGACTGACCCTGTCGGGGATCGGGTTCACGGGAGGTGGGGGTTGATGCACGACGAAAATCAACAAACCCCCGGGTTTTGTCGAAGCGCCGTGCCGCCTTCCGGAGTGGCGAGTGCCTTGTTGGGGCCGACGCGAGATGCGAGCAAACAGTATCGAGCAAGCTGTGATCTATCAATCACTGAACAAACCGAAGCAGGGAATATTCACGTCGAGTCGCACAGGTCCTTCGGCCCGCTGAAATGTCCAACTAAACTAGTTCGGTACCGTGCCTCGCTGAATTTTACAATATAACTTGCTATATCCGTATACAATCCGCTAAAGGTTGTTCGGGCGAGTCCGTGCTAGAAGTTTATATCACGGTGGGAGTACGGACATAGCACATATGATTTTATTGCTACTTGGTTGCCGATGCTGTCTGCAAATGCAAATCTACCTACGGTCAATGTAGTCCTTCATGATGAGGCGGCTCAGGGAATACAGAGCAGGACTTGCACCTCGATTCGGCCGAACCACGACAAAATCCCTCTTGGTCATCCGTGCAGACGGGTTCCCCTAATCAAGGCTCGGAGCAGTAGTTTCTCTTCAATGGCCATTGGATTACAGTCGCTTGCTCTTTATGTCTCACTAACTCCAACCTCAAATCTGGCAACTCACTCGGAATCTGTCCGGAGACAGCTGATGTTTGTCCTCCTCTGTCGATCCGTAGGTCGATTGGGAATATCCCAAAACAAGTTGCGCAGACTCGAGACGCCAGATTTTCACTCCACTCTTTCGGATGGTGGCGTTTCAACCCAACAGACGGGCGCATGGTCGAGAGGACATGGGGCAAGTCGAGTCGGAATAACACTCACGTCCACATGGCCCCCCACCTGCGCTAGCATTGACTCGAACAGCATCAACGTATCGAGCTCAAACGTTCTTCCGCGAATGGAAACATCTCCCGAGGACCTTAGGTAGAAGTGCTCTAGCGGGCCAGCGACGACGACGATGACGACGACGACGACCAGCCAACCTGCAGATCGCGCACTTCTCACGGTCCTTGCGTCGTCATCATTGGACCGCATTCTGAGACGACAATATGCGGCTTAGATGTGAGATTTCCATAGCTTCCTCTACCCAAACAGTACTTTTCCGTTCCATTTCCCTCCATTACGTACGTCCACATCCAAAGGGCTCGGCCGGCCATCCGTCCATTTGAAAGTGTCATCATGGCGATCCACTTATACACCTCAGAGTCCTAAATATACGCGCGCCGTCGAGGATCTGTTGGGGGTTTTGATGCGACCGCAGTGCGTTGCGTGTGACTCACAGTGTGGGTAATACACTGCGAACATGGTGCAATGTCGATCGTCGGGCTTTGTTTGGCTCGTACCCAGCCATAGCTCAGCCAAAACCAACCCTAACTCCCAATTTTCTGCTGCTGCGTACAGCTCTTGCGACCTATTCCTGGGATCATGCCATACCGCGAGGCACGTGGCTGATATGAGCAGTTCATATGTTGCCGTCTGCCGGTACTTGACCATGGAAACTTGGTGAGCTGACTTTCAGTGTATCACCGCGTCCCTGAGCCACAACCTCCCAGAGTTGGGCTGTGATCTCGATAAGAAGGGATTCTGCCATCCTTGGTGTCTGCCTACTCGTCAACTATGCCTGCTTCTTCCCCTCTTCTGCCACTCTCGCTAGCTCTTGAAAGCATTGACCCTATTTGGTTTTCGTCAACCCGGCTGAAAAGATGTTTCATGTCCTTACCTCGTGTATATTCCCTTTGAGCCTTGGACGGCTCCGCATGGCCATTGGGGTGGATCTGGCCTGTGTGACGAGTCCAACTAGACCTATAAACGCTTCTTGGTACGGTTGGCTCTGTTGGGTGAGAGGAGACAGAAAGGCTCCAAAAAAAGCCTCCACTATGAACGTATATGGAGAGTAGAGCCAGGTAACTAGGTGAATCCTGGACTGCGCTCTCCTTTCTTGGTGGTAGGTTTCCATGATCTTACGGTTCCCTTATTATGGTATATGTAGTCAAGGAGGTTAACGGCATAGATAGACCTTCTGCCTGGACGCCTCCCATTTCTCAGTTTCTTGGCATCACCCCGTCAGAGAACTGTTGTTTACAACATCCATCCATATTCGTACCGTATCTATGCATCCGTTCCGAGTCCAGAACTACTGAGTGCACGGGCATTCCCCCTGCTCCCCGATCTTTCTGCGCCGCTCGAAGAGGTTTGGTCTATATCGGTAGCTTGATATTATAGCCCAATGCTTGGCTTTGATGGTACGGAATTCTTCAGCAAGAGTATTAAACAAACATTGTGTGAACTAAGCCTGAAGTTGGTTTCGCAGTCTACCGTCGGAGTTAACGCCGAGCACATCTAGTCGTGTTAGATTTCTGTCTTGTATATGTTGAGCACCTGCGCCGATGACCTGCTTTCAGTCGCAGACGTTTCTTGTCGTCGGCTATCTACAAATGCATCCCATTCAATCACTGATATGCCATCGTTACCAGTCGGGCTAACGCATTGGTGGTGATCGAAGACATGTTACATCCACCTCTGCAATTTCTCCACAAACACCTTTCCGCCTTACAAACCCACCATTGTCATCTTGCTCACATGCGGCCGCAGGCTTGCAGCACGCGGATAAAAAGGAGTGGCGGATAAGAGAGATTATAACCAGATGATTGGGCACAAGAAAAAAGGAAGAAACTCGTGTAGTAACACAGCGTGAGTTCCATGTGTCCTATCCCATGTTCCAGGCCGCAACCTACTCCACCGGTCGACAAGGAGCTGAAACGCGGATTGTACCCTGTCTAACTTGCAACAACTCGTCTGAATGTTCGTCGGACGGAAATGAACCATTCATATACATGTTGCGCTCCTCATCAGAATCCTAGTTCGTCTTCGTCCCCGTGGCCAGTAGGGTTAGCTCTACCACACAGCTCGGCCAAAACCATACGAGGTCCCGTCTCGCCGCTTCGGGTAGCCCGCCGGCACTGGTTCCGTAGTCTAGCCATGGTATGGTTTCTCAATTGGGACTTGCCCAGAGTCCGTGGCCGGTTTTCTTGGCACATGCTCAGCTCGTCGATGCCTTCCGTCGTTGCCCGCGCTTCCCTAGACTGGCTGCCATGATCATGTTTCTCTCCTCTCGGCCTTTTTCCTGCTTGACGCCGGTCAACCTGGATGCCGTCCGGCTCGCTCGCCGCCTTAGCCATTGCCATCAAAGGCCTGATTTCTTCGGCAGCTCCCGCTGTCATATCGAGTTCGGAGTGGTCCCGTTGATCTCCGAATGAGCCATATCTGTGCCTGCTGCTCCGGCGAGGCACTACAAACTGTGCTGGTACAATACCGTTCCGCCGTCTTGCTACCGGACTCACCGCAATCCACTCGCTGATGCCTTCTTCCCATCGGAAGCCCGCAAAGGTCTCTTCTGAGCCGCTGTTTGCGTCGACAGAATGATCCTTGCTAGTCAAGGCTCTCGTCAAGGTTTCTGCAAATACGAGGTCTCGCAGATCGTCGGTCTTCTGGGCTAAGAAAAAAGCACCGTCAGCTCGCAACCTTGCAAAACATTGAACACCAAGTCGGTCCACCAGCCTGCAGAGTTCTGCAAAGTATTGGCTAGACGGCCGAGATGTAGCTCTACCACAACAGTGAGCAACTGAGCAGGTAAGAGCAACGGCAATATCGAGGATCTGGCTGCCTCTTCTGCCCCCGCCCAGGTTTTGTCGCTGGCCAAGACCACCTTCTAGGGTGTCTATGATTGCTTTGAGTTGTATCGCGCTGTCATGAGCTGGACCGGGAAACGACGTGAAGAATATTGCCAGCAATAGGGGAGATACGGCCTCCCTACTTGCATGCTGGCTTCTCACCAGCCTCAGCGCTTGGTAGAGTATCTGCAGCACTATTCTCTGTGTTCTGCTCCCCCGCCCTGTGACTCTGCTGCTCGCGACGTCCCCGAAATCTTGCGAAATCATGGCCATGGCTGATAGGGCACCAAGGACACTCATCAAGGTCAGCTTGGTAGCATTGTGTCTTGTGCTGAGCTCTGGTGTGCACCTCCTTCGCCTCGGAAAGGTGGCTGTGCACAAGACTGCAAGTCCTGCGGATGCAAATCGAGTCGCAGATGAATATGCTTTCTGCCCGACTATTGCAGATGCTGTCGTAGTCCACCAGAACCCAAAGGTTTTCGTTGAAACTGTGTCGGGGGTGAGGTGTCCGCTCAGCAAGAGAGAGGCAAAGGTATCAAGCAAGTACGACTCCACAATGGGATTGTTCGCAAGGCCCGGCAAAGAGGCCAATAGCCGACCTTCCATCTTGCTGCCAAGCGGCTTTGTATCTCCTGACGGACCATGACAGGAAAAATAGAGCAGAGCCGTGGTGAGCTCAGCTGTTTCTCTAGGACAGTGTGTAGCCCTGCAGTGCTCGATGATGATGCGTATGAATTTGGCGTCCAGGAGGCCTTCCATGATAATTTCCTTCAATAAGTAAACGGCGTGTGCCCTAAGGACAATTCGAAGGTGGACCCAACCGCTACCAGAACCGCCTAGTGTCTCCAATTCGTCATATACCCGAAGTGAATAGCTCATCTGCTTGATGGAAGACACCGGTCCGTCGTTTGCTGCTCCGGACCTTTCCCAAGCCTCAATTTCTGCCGCGCACTGAGGTACCTTCAGCAAGCACATTGACAAGAGAGACTTCTCGCCAACCGGCCTGTCCTCGAGCATAGTTGAGCGCAGCAGCACATCCAGGTCGTGGAGGATGCCTTCGTATAGTTGGTAATGAGTTGGCCTGAAAGAACGTCTTGCACATTCCAGTTCATTCAACGACGATTCTAGAGGACCGCGTTTGCCAACTTTCGGAAGCATGCAGAGGCCTCCTTTCTTTTCGCATGATGGCAGGTCGAACGAGACTGTCGTCGTCATCATGTCACATCTGACCTTGCGTAAGATTGGGGTTGACACATTGGGTATACCCGAAGCCGAGGGATTAGACCCTGAAAGACGGCTGCTCTGGATGAAAAGGGAACCTCTTGACGCTGGGCGATACTCATCCGTAGACACACCGGTAGGTGATCTCCTGGAGTATGTTCGGCGAGGGCGTTTTCGCTGTCCTTCAAGAATGCTACTGTCGTCCCAAACCCTTACTTTCTTCGCCGGCTGGTGATGGAGCGCTCCGCCACTGGTGCCATTCTCACGCGCGTCCTGTGCTGGAGTAGCCTTCTCTGCTAAAGCAAGTTTTCGCAGGGCAGTGATCCGAGACAGCAGAGGGCGTAGAAGTCGACGGCATCGCGAAGAAGTCCAAGACAAGCCACTAGACTGCTCCACATGGCGGAACTCGTCTGCTTCTCGCTGGGCTGAAAACCCCTGGCCGACAGGATGATTATCTCTCACCATCTCAGGTGCGAATGTACCTGATCTAGTTTAATAGAGTCGCAGCAACGGTAAATAAGGTCAAAAGCCGTATGCGTCAAAGTCAGTACACGGGGGGTAGGTCCCGAACAAGCTATGGCTGTTGACCGAGGCTGAAGTAAGGAGGGTGCGTGTTTGCGTACCGCGTCGGGTTGTGGTACGTTGTTTTCAACAAGTATTGATAGATATAAGAGCCAAAGGAGTCAGCAGCAAAATGAAGTTGCAGTGCACTGTTTGTAAGTGAGAGTGGACTTGGTAAAGTGTGATTAATGTACGGATCTCTGAAGAGTGATGCAACGTATTTGGCTCATCACATTGAATGTTTACTTGTTCCCTAATCGGGTATGGTGTATCATTACTACACGTCAGGTAGATCCTTGGTCCCAAATTGAACCAATGCAATCAATGCAATCAATCAAGAGAGAGTCACGTGCTCTCCACAAAGCTCCAGAGAACCATAATCGAGCTTCCGGATGTATTAGGTAAGGTTAGTTGAAGCCTCACTCTGGAACTACGGGGCTGTGGTGGTGCCCCTTTACTTGACCCTCATGAGTGGAGTGGGAACCCTAGGCATGGGGAAGAACTAACGACGA